TTGCGATTGAACCAAATCATTTAAACGGTTGATTCATTCAGGAACGAAACACCATCATGTTGCTCAGAGACGCAAAACAGCGCAGCTTTTTGTTGGCAAAATAGAGCAAAAGCTGGAAATACGGTGTCTAAAACTTAAGTCTCTTAACTTCTTGTTTATTGAACTGTTGTATAAAATCAATATCACATTTGTAATCATGTTGACTTTTGGAGAAAAAAACAGCACTCTTCGTGTGATATTAACTATATGAAATTATATAAATATATACATTTTCTGCCCCCATATCTTGAATTCTGTGATAATTCGAAATGCATTTTAATAGACGATTCATGCAGTGAAAGAACACACTCTAAATGCACGTACTAGTTTAACCTATATTAACTGACTTCATCACCTAATGTATGTGTGCAGACTGTGCACTCTGTAGGTGTGTTTTGTTTGCTTTTTGCGATGTAGGGCCTACTCAATAATGTCGAATCGCACATCGTTAAAACAACAATTAAGATATCGCAGACCATATATATCGCACACCTTACTGTTTAGATTTTTATAATGCATTGTCTTCTTATCGATCCACCAGTTCACATTTAAATCTCTGCATGTTTGCAGGGTAAAAACATGGGCCGATTTTCGCATTGGTCTGAACAAAACAAGAGGATTTTTGAAAATGCTCATTCTCTGCCAGCAGTTTCCCCGGTAACGGCAGAACACAAAGCAGCTCAGCACCTTGAACCTGCAGCGCTCATGTTTATTTAATGAAATCGTAGCCTTTTTTGAAGTTTAATCGTCACATTCAGCCATATCACAATTCTGGCCTTTCCATACCCAAATTTAAGACCTCTTGAAATCATAATTAAGACTTTATTGTACAGTTTAAGATTTTTAAGGCCTTAAATTTGATACAATTACATTTAAGACTTTTTAAGACCCCGCGGAAACCCTGTTTAAAGAGGGCCAGGTGAGCCAAAGCCACCTACAAGAAGAGCTGAAACACATGCAGTGAGGCACAAAAGACTACACAGAGAATTTAAGGTTCTGCACTATATATAGATCACTAATTAAATAAGCAAATTTGTGTCATTTATTATGTGACTTTATCTTTGTACAAAAGATCCAGTTTCACTAACATGTGGAGTTCTGTGTTCTGCTGTCATTAAAACAAATACTTTAAATATCAAATATTAATTAATCTGAAACATTTTTTTCTCAAAATACAAAAGACAATTCAAAAGACAATTATACATACAATTCAAAATACAGACATTTTTAAGAGTGGTCTCAGACTTTTGGACCCACTTGCAATGCAAATAATAACAAGTGAAAACCACAACATTCAGTCTCCCAGACTATAAATAATGAAAATGATTTCTAAAATAATATTTAATACACAGTTCACTGTAATACTTGATTCTAACTGATCAAATATTTGGTGCATAAAGACTGAATAATTTAACTAAAAACACAAAAAATAATTGAAATTGGTAAATATTTTTAATATTTACTTATTTATTTTAAAAGTTTGAACTTTCTATTCAAAGAATCCTGAAAAAATGTATAATGGTTTCCACAAAAAAATATTAGACAGGACAACTGTTTTCAACACTGATAAGAAGAAACGTTTCTTGAGCAGCAAATCAGCATATCAGAATGATTTCTGAAGGATCATGTGACACTGAAGACTGGAGAAATGACTGTTGAAAAATCAGCTTTGCCAACGCAGAAAAAAATTTACATTCAAAAATGCATTAATATTTTGTGATCAAATAAACGCAGCCCCAGGAAGACACTTCAATCAAAAACAGTTTTTTTTACAACTTTTACACACCGCAAATTTAAACGGTAGTGTATATTTTTAAAGAATGCTATATTTTGCGTGTGTAAAGAGCAACCCCTGAATTTATCAACATACTAAACATCTCACAAAGGCTCACCAAGTCTGACTCATTTAGCAGATGTCTGGCTTTAAAAGATCATAGTGGAAAATAATATCACTTGGTCTGTGGTTTAAACAACCGTGATGAAAAAGGAAATGTGTGCTATCTCTCAGTTCATAAAACACTTGCCACAGCCTCCTCTCTGTCTCTAGTTCTCTTTTATTCTCGCTTTTATCATATAGACCTAAAAGGTGTAATTATAAGCGATCTCACACTTGGTACAATAATTTAGGGTCACAGACCCACTTATTTGTATGAGGCCATTTCTAATACACGCACACACATTCACAGTTAGTGGAAGTACATTACTTGGTACAGATAATTGCACATAATCTTCTCATGTGTAGGATGATATT